TGTAGTAGTTATGATGTTTAGAGTAACCCTTTAATGTCTTAATGTAGTAAGGAACCTGGTTCAAGAAATGTTTTGGTGCAAGGGTGGTCTCTACCCCAAGGGTGACCAAAAAGTAGATACCAATCTATCCCACAATGCTACAGCAGCTGGGGATCTACAATTTGCCCATCCTTGCACAGTTGCATTTATGAGCAGTGTTTTGAATGTAATCGTGTGTGTGTGTGTGTGTGCGTGCGAGTGTAGGGGTATATTTGTATGCACTGTTGCCATTAGGATGCAGTGGTGTATAAATATAATGTTTGTGTTTGAATACCGGGGTGTGTTTGTATGTAGTTTTGGCTTTAAATGCAGGTGTATTTTTGTGTGTAGTGTGGGTGTTTGCATGAAGGGTGTTTGTAGATATTGTTTGCATTTTATTACAGGGGATGAACTGAACACTCATTACTGATACAGTCTGACACACAAACACACACTTCCTGACACACATGTACTAACAAATGAATAAACACATTCACTGTCACATACTAATACTTTGACACATACTAATACACACTGCCCTTAGCAGCAGCAACAATGGTTCTTTGGTGGGTAATGTAGCCAAATCCTTTATGAACAGCCATTAACATAGCTAAGGCTGTTGGAAATGACATCACGTATCCCTGCGGCCAGGGGTCAAGTCCTGGGGAAAAAAGTGTGGGAACTCACCCAAGATTCCCGCCGCCCCCCCCCCTTTAAAAAAAAAAAAATTACACTCCTATGCATATAGTGCAGTGCAGGGTGTGTATAATGAATGTAGTGTGTTTGTAGTGAATGCAGAGTGTGTATAATGAATGCAGTGTGTTTTTAGTGAGTGCAGAGTGTGTACACTGAATGCAGTGTGTGTAGGTGAATGCAGAGTGTGTATAGTGAATGTAGTGTGTAGTGAGTGCAGAATGTGCATAATAAATGCAGAGTGTGTATAGTGAATGCAGAGGGTGTATAGTGAATGTAGTGTGTTTGAAGTGAGTGAAGAGTGTGTATAATGAATGCAGGTGTAAAAGTGTGCGCGCTGGATGACGTGTGTGCGCGAGTGCTGGATGATGTGTGTGTGTGTGCTGGATGATGTGTGTGTGTGTGTGCTGGATGATGCGTGTGTTGCTGGATGATGTGTGTGTGTGTGTGTGTGTGTTGGATTATGTGTGTGTGTGCTGGATGATGTGCTTGTGTGCTGGATTATGTGTGTGTATTGGATTGTGTGTGTGTGTGTTGGATTATATGTGTGTGTGTGTGTGTGTGCTGGATGATGTGTGTGTGTGTTGGATTATGTGTGTGTGTGTGATGATGTGTGTGTGTTGGATTACATGTGTATGTGCTGGATGATGTTTGTGTGTGTGTGTTGGATTATGTGTGTGTGTGTCTACTGGATGATGTGTGTGTGTGTGTGTGTGTGTTGGATTATGTGTGTGTGTGTGTTGGATTATGTGTGTGTATGTGCTGGATGATGTGTGTGTGTTGGGTTATGTGTGTGTGTGTGCTGGATGATGTGTGTGTGTGCGCGCTGGATGACGTGTGTGTGAGTGCTGGATGATGTGGGTGTGTGTGCTGGATGATGTGTGTGTGAGTGCTGGATTATGGGTGTGTGAGTGCTGGATGATGGGTGTGTGAGTGCTGGATGATGGGTGTGTGAGTGCTGGATGGTGTGTGAGTGCTGGGTGATGGGTGTGTGTGTGCTGGATGATGGGTGTGTGAGTGCTGGATGGTGTGTGAGTGCTGGATGGTGTGTGAGTGCTGGATGATGGGTGTGTGAGTGCTGGATGATAGGTGTGTGTGTGTGTGTGTGTGCTGGATGATAGGTGTGTGTGTGTGTGTGCTGGATGATGTGTGTGTGAGTGCTGGATTATGGGTGTGTGAGTGCTGGATGATGGGTGTGTGAGTGCTGGATGATGGGTGTGTGAGTGCTGGATGGTGTGTGAGTGCTGGGTGATGGGTGTGTGTGTGCTGGATGATGGGTGTGTGAGTGCTGGATGGTGTGTGAGTGCTGGATGGTGTGTGAGTGCTGGATGATGGGTGTGTGAGTGCTGGATGATGGGTGTGGGGTGCTGGATGATGGGTGTGTGAGTGCTGGATGATGGGTGTGTGGGTGCTGGATGGGTGTGTGTGTGTGTGTGCTGGATGATGGGTGTGTGTGTGTGCTGGATGATGGGTGTGTGAGTGCTGGATGATGGGTGTGTGTGTGTGCTGGATGATGGGTGTGTGTGTGCTGGATGATGGGTGTGTGTGCTGGATGATGGGTGTGTGTGTGCTGGATGATGGGTGTGTGAGGTGCTGGATGATGTGTGTGTGTGTGTGCTGGATGATGGGTGTGTGTGTGCTGGATGATGGGTGTGTGTGTGTGGATGATGTGTGTGTGAGTGCTGGATGATGGGTGTGTGTGTGCTGGATGATGGGTGTGAGTGCTGGATGATGTGTGTGTGAGTGCTGGATGATGGGTGTGTGTGTGCTGGATGATGGGTGTGTGAGTGCTGGATGATGTGTGTGTGTGCTGGATGATGGGTGTGTGAGTGCTGGATGATGGGTGTGTGTGGGGGAAGCATTTTTTTTACTTTATGTATAATTTGTATTTATCCCCCCTCCCTGCTTCTTACCTTGTCAGGGAGGGGGGAGATCGCCTGGTGGTCCGGTGGAGGGAGGCAGCCGCTGCACACAGGAGCCATCACACACTGTGTTCCCTCTCCAGCTTTAACTCTCGCGAGACTCGCCTGTGCGGAGCGTTGCCATGGAAACAGCCGCGGGTCTCGCGAGAGTTATAGCTGGAGAGGGAACACAGCGTGTGCTGGCCCCTCTGTGCAGGTAGCAGGGCCGGTCCTGCAGGATCACTAGCGGGAACGGCGTTCCTGCTTTGGAAAAAGTGCAGGAACGCCGTTCCCATGCGTTCCTGCAGGACTCGAGCCCTGGTCCTTGGAGTGTAACTGTAAAAATATATCTGTCACCTAATAGCATCATAAGTGCACTTGGCTGTCTGCAACCTTCAACTTGTGATTTTAATTGAAAAGCCCTCAAAAGTGACTTTTTTTGTTGTTGTCATTAACCTCGGGATATCGATTTATTGAGTTGGATATTGCAAAATAGCATAAATTAGAAGCTAGTCCCAATTTTAAGCCAATTATATTTTCTGACTTTAGTGACATTTACTGATGGTGAAATGTGACCCGATTTTTGGATTGTAATTCATCCAAGAGTTGGTATTTCTGTAAATATTGTTACATTGAAATCAGAGGGATCCACGGTGAAATGTTAGATTTTAATTTGTCATGTAGTTTATGAATATATAGAGATTATGCTTCATATCATCTGCGTTTGGTT